CTGGGAGGCGGAGCTTGCAGTGAGCTGAGATCTGGCCACTGCACTCCAGCCTGGGAGACAGAGCAAGACTCTGTCTCAAAAAAAAAAAAAGGATCAATTGAAACATTTTGGGTTCAGTTAGTAAAATGTTAATAAGATTTTCCCCTATTATTTTTGTTTTATAATCTATTTTTATCATTTTTTTTCCATCTCCATAAGGTGTCGTCGGGGAATTCACAAGTGCATTGAATGTCATTCCAAAATAAAAGATTTTGCAAGCCACTTTTCTATATACATCCACTGCAGTTTTTGCAAGTACAATACTAACTGTAACAAAGCCTTTGTAAATCATATGATGAGGTAAGAAACATGTAAACTGCCAATCAAAATTGCCATTTGGGTCATTTGTTTTTTGAAAACAGAGTTATCCTATTGGAAGCAAGTTTGTCTCATCAAGGAACTAAAAGGGTCTAGCAATAGGAACTTCTAAGATGTTCCTTGTACTATTTTCCAGCATAGTAACTCATAAAATTACTGTGACAAAAACTCTTAAGAACAATTAGACTAATGAAACTAAAATGAGTTTGTTAGGGAAATTTGTTTTTCTATGGGACTTTTTTTTTCTTTTATGTCTTTCAGAAAGTGGTTTTTTCAATATATTTATCAAATAAATATGATCAGCTCTTGCATTCCACATCTGTGGATTCAACCAACTGTAAATCAAAAGCGTTTTAAAAAATTACGTCGCTACTGAACATGAACAAACCTTTTTCCTGTCGTCATTCTCTAAACAATACAGTATAAAACTATGTAATAGCAGTTACATTGTATTAGGTATCATAGGTTTACAAATAATCTAGAGATGATTTAAAGTGTACAGCAGGATATGTATAGTTTATATACAAGTACTATGCCATTTTATATCAGAGACTTGAGTCTCTGCAGATTTGGATGCCTGCAGAGGAGGTCCTAGAAGCAATCCACCATGGATACAGGGACCCCTGTATATGTAATCTGTTGAGTCTTATCCTCTTCAAAGCGATCACTTTGAGAGACTCCAGGCTTTTTAATGATGCTAAGAACATTACCCTGTCTCTGTCTCCCACATCTGTCTGTCCATTTGTCTTTCTGATCATCCGTCTTTGCATTCATTCAATGAAACATAAGCGACTGTAGGAATATTCCAGTCATGATGCTACCATTGGAATTCCTTTTCATGCATTGATTCAACTTAATTTGAGCACCTATGATGTACTCTACACAAGGGAAAAACTTCAGAGCCCCCCTTACTTTCATTTGAACCTCATTCGTAGGGTCTTGTCTTATTCTTTCAGAATGGATTTTATTTTAAATTACCAAAAAGTGTCCACATATAAATATAAGTTGATTATTCCAATTAAGATAGTTCCATTTATTTTCAGTTAGAAATAAGATATAACTAGCCAGGCACAATGGCTCATGCCTATAATCCCAGCACTTTCAGAGGCCAAGGAGAGAGGATTGCTTGAGCCTAGGAGTTCAAGACCAGCCTGGGCAACATAGCAAGACCTCATCTCTATTTTTAAAAAAGAAAAAAAAAAGAAATAGGTGTAACCAATGAAAGTGGTTTTCTTGCAGATTATTAAAAGACCTCTATATTATTTTCTGCTCATAATCAGCTACCACTCTGAAGGATTCACCCACATTTTGATGGCTTCAGCACCTGGCTTGCAGGGGTTTTTTCCCCTTTGGTGATCAACCTGACCTTATTATGATACCTTTACTTCTTTAGTGCTAGCACTTTACATCCCTTTCTGCTTGTTGTATCCCCTTTCTTAACACCATCCCATTTTACCTCATTGTAGACAATACTTACTTTGAATTCTCATTACCCCATGACTTTCAGGGTCTTGACTCCTTTTTTCTAGTCCAGTAGTATCAATTCAATTTTGTAGCCAACCACACCCTTAAGGTCTTCTGTTTTGAATGCTGCTTTGTTTCTGTCCTAAATTCCTTTGTATCTTCAGTCATGCTTAGTCTTGCTATCTTTGCATCTTTTATCCTTTTTGATGTATCCCTATCTCGGTTCTAGACTACCATACCATGCTCAATTCAGTCAGCTCTGAATTCGTGATCTTTAATTTGGTCCTTCCTTTTTTAAAAATACCACTTTGTGTTTTGTTTGTTTGCTTGTTTGTGTTTTTGAGACGGAGTCTTTCTCTGTCACCCAGGCTGGAGTGCAACGGCATGATCTCGGCTCACTGCAAGCTCCGCCTCCTGGGTTCACGCCATTCTGCTGCCTCAGCCTCCCCAGCAGCTGGGACTACAGGTGCCCGCCACCATGCCCAGCTAATTTTTTTTTTTTTTTTGGTATCTTTAGTAGAGACAGGGTTTCACCCTGTTAGCCAGGATGGTCTCGATCTCCTGACCTCGTGATCCGCCCGCCTCGGCCTTCCAAAGTGCTGGGATTACAGGCGTGAGCCACCACACCCAGCCAAAAATACCGCTTTGTTTTTATCTACAACATCTGTCAGATTTTATTCTAGTCCCTCAGTTGTTAACTTTGCCTAATAATTACTCAGAGGTCATACTTTTTGTTTTTCTCAAGATTAACTTTTTCGTGTCTCAAGGTTTTTTTTCCTTCAGCCATTAATCTCAAAAAACAGACATGTCCCACTGTTTTTAAGTTAACCCTGTTCGTCATCTCTTGCATTTCCTCCACATCCTTATTTCATTACTTTGGACCTTCAGTTCATCTCTTTCTCTCTACCACATTCATTGTGTCTGCAGATATTTTCAGGCATATTTTTAGGATGAGGAAAATCTGCCTTTACTTTGCATGTTTTCTTGTCCTCGTTTTACCATCAACATTTGTAAAGAGTATTCTTTACTAGCCTGTTTGTCATTTTTTGACCCTTTGTGATTTGAGTGTCGCCCACCACCCCCACCTACATGCAGCTAAAGCTGCTCCTTTAAAGGTTATCAGTCATATCCTAACCACTGGATATACTCATTTTTCATTCTTCCTCCTCTGTGACTTCTTCAGAGTATTTGACATTTTTGATCACTTACTTTTGGAACTCTTCTCAACTTCTGTTAAACTGTTACCACCGTTTTTTTTCTTTCCTTTTGGCTACTCCTGCTCTATATAATTATCTTTTCTCCCTTCAACTGTTCTTGTCCCCTTATAATCCCTTTCTTGGTACCTTAACCATTCTTAAAATTTTCTCTTTTACCTTTCAACTGTAAATCCTCTGATTTCAATGCTGAGTTTCCCTGAGACCCCACTCTGTTTCTAACTAGGATTCAAACCACTTTTACTTCAGTACCCTTTAAGCTCAGTCTTGACTGTTTCAGGGCATCATTTGCATAAACAGGGAGCACCAGCTAGAAATAATTTACTATCCCAAGTTTTTGAAACCCATTGAGTTCTGTTGATCTGCCACCATACATTCTAGCTTCCTGAGAGTCCACCTTCTGCAATATTCCAGTCTGCCTCTTCCACTACTATAGTGGTTCTGCACCTATACCCCAGTTTCTCTAAAGCAGACCCTAGCCAACCCTTCCCCTAGTACACTGCTATGAGTAATGTTGTTCTCTTATTCTGTGCCAAACACTTGGCTGCCCTAATGAGGCTTTAATTCTGCCCCTAATTTATAGAGGATTAAATTGGAAAACATTTTTGGCATTACTTAAACCCATGTGTCATTCCATCCTCCTCTCTCCCATTTTCCGTAGGCTCACCAACTGTCTTGCAGAACCTTCAGCCCCATTCTATCCCCAAACATTCCCAACTGACCTAAAGTTACCTTCATAACCTTTTCCTAATTTCTGGTGAGCCCCTGCACTGTCATCACACACATTGAGCTCTTACTCATCATTAACCTCGTCTAGAACTGAAAGCTTCCACTTCTACTCTTCTAAGGGCCTCATAGGTCCCTTTGCTTTTCCCCTACTTCAGGGGCACATTGTTTCCCTCATTACTTCAGGTACCTCCCTCTGAATGGTGCACCCTCACTCCTACTCGGTGTGGACTTTTGTCATAGGTTTGAGTTCTGTATGTTCAGAGGCTTCATTTTCTCAGAGGTTGAGTACCTTTATTCCCAGGCTATGCCAACTCCATTGCGAGAAGACAGGCCCCCAAAATTGATCTATCTTCCCCAATGTATAGATTCTTCATATTCAGTATCTAAAGTAGTTTTTTCTTGTTCTTGATTATTCTCTGGAAGGCTCCTCTCCTTCCCTCTCATTTCACCCTCTGCGAAGTATCTGATCAGCACAGCCAGTCATAGGAATCATTCCTTTCTTTGAGTTCTGTAACATTCGCTCTTCTGCCTCACATGTGTCTCTATTATCTATTTGAGAGAGAAGCTCTTTCTTTGTATTCACCATAGTGCCTATTCTGAGGATATTTTCTTGAAATTAACAGCTAGCCAGAATCTTTATTTTCCCATGCATATATAGTATGCTGGTGATGGTTACCTTGTGTCTGAGGGTAACTGTTGACCTGCTGTGTGGGGTCTGTCAGTGCAAGACAGGGCTAGTGCTTCTCAAACTAGCTTGCATAAGAATCAGCTGGAAAACTTGGGAAAACAGATTTCTGGGCCCCACTGCCAGAGATTGGTTGACTATGTTTGCAGTAAGGCCTTAAACTTTGTGTTTCTAACAAGCTTCTAGGTAGGCTGATGATGCTGGTCCATGGACCACACTTTGAGTAATACTGTGCTAGGCTAATCCTGGCTAATCTTGCCTGGTTTTCTAACACAGGAAAGCTCTCCTTATCAATTTAAAGGGAGGCATAAAAGCTATTACCATTGGCTCTGAAGTTTGGTTAGTGGTTTTCTGATCTGTGTATAGGAGAAGCATTGTTTTAATTCTTGAGCTCTGCTTCCCTTAATTTGCTCTCTTTGAAAGTTCTCCTGGTAATTGCAAAGGATTCTTTAAATGTTTCATGTTTATTGAATTAAGCAATGGCATTTATCTCAAGTAGTGTTTACTTCCAGGATCATTCAGATTATCCCCCTCCCCAAACATACTAAGATTAAAATGTAATGAATAATTATTATTCTCCAGCCTGGGTGACAGAGCAAGACTCTGAAACAAAAAATAATTATTTTAACAATTTCTATCATAGCAAAATACATTATCAAATATCTTTTAAATTGTTCTTACTCTTAATAGTTAAAAAATTTTTAATTTGACACTGCATTTTTAACTCAAGCATTTTTTTTTTTACTAATGGTGAGATACTGATCATCTAAGAAAATTCTCAGGGGAATATGTAATTAGAAAATATACAGGTAAAGTGGAATGTAAGTTAAAATTCTTGAATTAAACAGA